CACTTTTCCTGAAGTTAGAAGAGTTTGTTGAATCTGACGTGACATGTTCGTACGAACCCTTTGTACGAACAAAAGTAAGAGAAATTTAGGAGAAGAATACGAACATGTTCTTGCATGAGGCCAATTGTATTTATTTCATCTTTATTTCATCCGTCATTAAAGACAGACCAGGAAAAACCAAGACCCTCCTCCCTCTACAGCCTCTAGTCTGGTCCCGGTCTGAAAAAAAAGTCCATGAGAGTGCCTCTAATATCTGGTGAATTAATTATCTGCTCTGTGCACAACGTTCGCTTGCTCTTTAGTAAATAAAGCAAAGCTATTTTATTTATTTTATCTTTATTTCAACCGTCAACCGACCGGAAAACGAACAAAGACGCTCCTCCCACTGCACGTCTTTAGACACGTTCGGTGTGAATGGACAGCTGTTGACAAGCAGCCAAACGCATGCGGCAGGAGCATCTTGGCTGCTCCAAACGCTTTTGGTTCTGGTTGATTCAGTCTCAATGTTCTGGCTGATAACTAATAGGTTTTGAGAAATTTAGAAAACAAAACTATAGCTACCTCGACATGAAACCATTACTAACTAATCTTTCAAACTAGAGCTGTGTGCTTAGGATTGGTAGCTTTAATCAACAAAGTAGTAATAAATATATATAAAACTAAAATCTGGGGGAGGAAAAGCAGCCTTCTAAAATCTTAGTTTGTCTTTGTTTTTCCCCTTTTTATGGATATTTATATTTTTAGTATTACTGTTCTAACAATGCTGACCTAGACTTTGTAATAAATAAAATTCTATGTATTGTTCTGACAAACCTGCTTATTCAAATTAAAGGGCCAACCTTTTCACTGGTAGCACATTAAAATGCACCTGTACATACTTTCATCTACTGTTATCTCGCAAGAATAAACTTTCATTCATGTGTTATATAAATATCCTAATATGTCTTTGTTTAATCTGGCAACCTGTAAATAAAACTGCAATAAACTTTGAGCTCAGAAATTAAGAAACTAATGTTAAGTTTTTTTTTCTACTGAAGTGACAAAAAAAACTGGGAGCTCATTCTAAAGAAAATCAGGCTACATTTTCAGTATCACATTTCAAACTTTCACATGCAAATAAAAAGGAGCATTAAGTTTGGGTGCAGTATGCAGCTTTTGAGGCTGCACAGTACCTGAGTAGAGAAAAAGCCTCCATGATAGTTCTGTTGTCCAATGAGCCACCTAACGATGCTTGAGGCACACGTCAGGTCACTGGCAGTAGAGACAGAGGAACTGAGTCTGGCCAGCAGCACATATGAGGTTGTCTCCACATTCAGAGAGGAGGATTTTTTTGACGACAGACTCCAGTAGAGGAGGTCCCCTAGAAACATTTGTCAGGAAACAGTCCAAACAATGTAAACTACAGTAAAGCGAATGACTCCTCTGATTGTTTGACTTTGAGAAGATGACTTGCCTTCTCGTTTTGCCACCGAGTCAAGGTGTTCTAGAAGTTTTGTACGTGTCTCTGTATCTCCTGCCAAGGTGAAGACGTATGCCAGCAGAGCTGTGGTGTACACGTTGCTGAGGTCATCGACATATTCCCTCAGGCAGCTCAGACTCTTCATCACCACGGGATTCTTTAACAGGTTAAAAAAACAACAAAGACTACCTTTAAATGACATTATTAAGATTATTAATTCAACATAACAATTTCAGTATTTTGACCCCTTGTTTTACTTTTCTTTTCGAGCACTTCTTTAAAAAATTTGAAGTAAGGAAAGAAAGAATAAACAGCACTGCAATTCTTTTATTTTTAATAACTTACCAATTTAAAAGTAACAATAAAACAATTAATAACAATTCACAAATCTCAGTAAATGGACTTCTTGTTTCTCATCATGAAAAAATTGCTAACTTATTTAATGAATATTTTATTTCTTCAGTAAGGACATCATTACCGGGACAAGCTAAGAGGACACCGAGGACCTATCCACGTCATCATTTACCCAGAATGCTTTGCATGTAAATAAAATGGCTTCGTCCGTGTAATACATTTTTAAAC